TTTGGGGTTTTGGGGGTGGGGGGGATGTCCCAGAGTGGGGTGCACTTCTGGGGGGGTGCCAGCAGCCTGCTTGCCCTAGAGCTGAGCCCATCTTGGGGTCCCCAAGCTGCTCCTTCCAAGAGCTTGGACCCATCTTGGGGTCCCCAAGCTGCTTCTCCCCAAATTGGGGCCCAATTTGGGCTCCTCAAGGTGCTTCTCCTGGAGCTGGACCCATGCTGATGTCCCCAGGGTGCTCCTCCCCAAATTTGGGCCTATTTTGGAGGCATTTTGGGGTTTCCAAGCTGTTCCTGCACAAATTGGGGCCCATCTTGGGGTCCCCAAGCTCCTTCTCCCCAAATCGGGGCCCATTTTGGAGGCATTTTGGGGTCTCCAAGCTGTTCTTCCCAAAATTAGGGCCCATTTTGGAGTCCTCAAGCTCCTTCTCGCTGGAGCTGGAGCCATGTTGATGTCCCCAAGCTGCTCCTTCCCAAATTTGGGCCCATTTAGGAGGCATTTTGGGGTCTCCAAGCTGTTCCTTCCCCAAATTGGAGCCCATCTTGGTGTCCTCAAGCTGCTCCTCCACAGAGCTGGGTGTATTTTGAGGTCCCCGAGCTGCTCCTCACCAACGTGGGTCACATTTTGGTGTCCCCAAGCGGCTCCTGGCCAATGTGGGTCACATTATGGTGTCTGCAAACTGCTCTTGACGAACTTGGAGCCCACTGTGGTGTCCCCAAGCTGCTTCTCTCCAACATGGGACATATTTTGGTGTCCCCAAGCTGCTCCTGGTCAACGTGGGTCACATTTAGGTGTCCCCAAGATACTCCTGGCCAACTCAGAGCCCACTGTGGTGTCCCCAAGCTGCTGCTCCCCAACGTGGGTGATGTTTTGGTGTCCCCAAGATGATCCTGGCCAACCTGGAGCCCACTGTGGTGTCCCCAAGCTGCTCCTGGTCAACGTGGGTCACATTTAGGTGTCCCCAAGCTGCTCCTGGCCAACGTGGAGCCCACTGTGGTGTCCCCAAGCTGCTTCTGGCCAACGTGGGTCACATTTTGGTGTCCCCAAGCTGCTTCTGCCCAGCATGGGTGATGTTTTGGTGTCCCCAAGCTGCTTCTGGCCAACGTGGGTCACATTTTGGTGTCCCCAAGCTGCTCTTCCTGCCCCACAAATGCCTTCTCCACATCCAAGCCCCTCGCACTAGTGTGTCCACGTCCCCGGTGTCCACGTCCCCCGCCATCTACCGCATGTGTGTCCCCTGCCCCCAGGTTCAAGTTCGACTACACCAACGAGCGGGCGCTGCGGCGGACGCTGCAGGAGGAGCTGGTGAAGGACATCCTCTCCAACGCCCACATCCAGAACGAGCTGGAGCGTGAATTCGAGAAGATGCGGGAGGACCGGGAAGTCCTGCGGGTCATCTTCCCCACCGGCGACAGCAAGGTGAGCCCCCCGCGGGGGTGGGCACCCCTAGACCCCCTAAAAGCCACCCACACCCCAATCCAGCACCCCTGCTGGGTTCCAAACCGCTGTGGGGACACCCCAGGTGGTGTCACCACCCCTTTTTGGGGATGCTGGATGCACAACCAGTCATGACCCCTGTTTTGGGGGGCTGCCCCTGCCCTGGCCCCCTTTTTGGGGTGTAGTAGGAAGCTGTGACCCCCCCCCTCTCTTTCTGTGGCTGT